AGTGGATGCACGCTACTACCCAAAACTCTACGCCTAACCTCAGGATTGAACCCGAGGTAAAACGAATCTGTGCAATTTTCAGTTCTTCTTCGATTTCATGTCTACAGAATAAGTCGCCCTCAAGCTAGGAAAGCTCAGCACCATAACCATTGTCGAATGGGTCAACTATATGAGCTTATCTGGATAGTCCAATGTACGTTTTTTGCTAAAGCTGAGTAAATTCATGATATAAATAAAAAAGTTATTTACGTTGAGTTGAAGAAAATATGTCTGTTAACGACCATCGACGATTCAGAGATCCTCGGCAGACTGGAATCTGTAGTTTCACAATGCTCCCCAACTTTTCTGCCTAACGAATGTTTGAAAATTACCCCTATCTCATGTGTTTTTTTATCATAAGTACTGAAATACAGCTCACAGTTTAGAAAATCTTCAAATATTTTTGACGTTTTACCCACTATTTACGTGAGTGCACACTGTAAGCACTTAGTCGTCATATGGCACTTGTGAATCAATTGATTTTTGGTATTTTAAAGTAAGACCTACACGAGCAATTGGCATACATTTGAATCGTACATGCTGTTAACATGATCAAGAGATACACTGAAATAATGGGCCACTAGCAATCACAAAATCAAGCCAGTTCAAGTTTTTGTTCATCTCAGTTGCGTAGGTTTGTTCTCATTCTCTACGTGCTACCTTGAACCTGAGATACGTCACGTGATTCACGATCGTTCAGGAAGTTCATTATCAGCTCAGAATAAATATGCATTTTGGCACATTGTGCTCAATTATTGCTCCAAGTGATAATAAATGGCCTCTCGCTTTTCGCTTCCATTTCATACCGTTATTGATTCGAATGGTTCAATCCACATTCCTAAGTCTTCATCTGTGAAACTACTTCGTCCGGTTAACTTTACTGTGCTCGCTTTAAGGGATCGCCGCGCCAACGGTCAAGGATTTGGTGGTAATGATAAAAGTATGAATAATCCGTCAATTAAACGGCTGACACGGAACGAAACAGGCCCTGAGATGAAATGAGGAACGAACTTCTTGCATTGGCTGAAACATTTGTCACCTCACCTCCCACGTACTGCACGTTGCACGAATCAGTCCTCTTTTAATCAGGTGAACAAAGTTCCAGCTTGACCGCTTCCAACGAAAAATGAATACCACATGTTGAATGATGAAATGCTGGTCGTTCGAGCACGAAAATGTAGGTCATTGTCGTACGTCAGGTTCCATCAGTTAATTAATTTCGAGCTGCACAAATTCCACTGTTCTTGATGTTTTGATATCACCATCACTTTTGATCTTTTGGACTAATCAACTGTCAGACAAGATCATTAGGACGTAATATTCTGTTTTCTTTTAATTACAATTAAGTGGACACATCATGAATAATGCAAGTCGATCACCCCTGTCAACTAGCTCATACTCGAATTCATCGGTTCTACCGAGTTCTATGCGTTTAGATGTCCTCGTCAGATTTGCCCATTTGAATCATATAACATTTGAGTATTCTTATACTTCACGCTCGTCCGTGTTCAGACACTGTACAATCATGTTTATAACAAAGCAATGGACCCATGATTGCACGTGGATGGGATACTGTCTCAGTCTCTAGAAATATTTAAATGCACACTGAAATACTATGCATACAACCGTTAGTAACTCTCCCTTGTATTAACCTTTCTTGCCGAGGTACATTTTCAAAACATCGTCGTTCCTCATCTCACTCACATTTAAATAAAATCGGCTTAGACCATTATCGAATATCCACTATCACGAGAGTGTAATTTTACGCTTCATTGCAGTAAANNNCAGTAAACGTTTTTTTCTAACTCCCATTTATTTTATGAACATGGTTTTCCACTGAACCTCGAGGAAAATGCTAAAAATTCACCCTATAAGGTGCATAAACCCTACTTTGAACTATCTGAACTATAGCCAACCACGGCATGTCGGGGGCCGTTAGCTAGTGTATTTCGGGGCTAAATGTTCTGGTTGGATGAGACAGAGCATGCACAAGCCACAAATTGATAATCAATATGGACGCTACTTGAAAAACAACGATTTAATTAGAATGAATAAAGTCTGATTTTGGAAAACCGAAAACACATACGAAGGGTTCTTAAGATTGATTTCTAATTAGTGCATTAGTAACGGGTAGGTGAAAGACGCAATGAGCCAGGAAATCTCCTTCATTGAAGGATACGACAGAGTCCTCACTTATTCTCGTCTGTTGGCAATTTGTTTCACAAACTTTTCCTCACCAGCCGAGGTGAAATCTTTGGTGCTCTTGAATTGGTTCATGGAGTTGACACTGCATGCGAAACATATCTACAAATTTAAGTGTCCACAGTTTGGTGCATCACTACTGACGTAAAGGGTTCGCCTAATGTACACCACCGTATTTAGCATCTGGAAGAAGTGTTTATAGGGTTTGAAATAGCGATGGAAATCACTGATTATACGAGATGGGATTATTTACATGTATTTCATAGATCAATGGGACACGTTGTTGGCTGTATTCAGCGAAGTAGTTCTCTCCCCCTTCGCCCGCCACGATGTGACTGCAATAAGTTGTCCACTATCGAGCGATAATCCTCTGTTTGCATTTTTCGCTTCCGTCTTGCATGTGCACACACGCGACCACATTAAAACTGATTCACTGACTCACTGATTCTGGCCTGTTCTATGTATTGACTGCTACTAAAAACTTTTTCGTGATTCGCTTCTAACCTGCGGTTGTTCGGTTGTTGTCAGTCCATCATTTGTACCACAGTAGATTACATTTGGACTGTCTCGTGAATGCGCTCGAGCCTACAAGTGTTGTCGGTCAGAATACTAACCAGTGAGAGATGAAGTTGACTCGTCAAATTCCGAAATTACTTATGTACACGTTAAACACTGCCTGTGGTTTTTATGAGAAGCAAGCAGTGACTTACAAACATATGACACAACGATGTACCAATCAGCTTCAAGTGACACTTAGAAAAGATTTGGTTGGTTTGCCACAAACGGATACTCAGACCAGGATAGATTAATAACCAAGCAACGGCACCGTGCTTTTGTTTATGGTTCATCCTAATTTGAAAGCAGGTGATTATGCAAACGATTAAACGCGTGAAAAAACACGCATTCATTCTCTTGATGTGTGCTGTTCTTCTATTCATGGTGAATATTTATTATTTCAACAGAGGAGACTCCATTTCTGAATCATTTAAACCCCAATTGCACCTGGATAGCTTTATGAGTCAAAAAAAATCATTGTTGTGTAGTTGGCCACCAGAATCGTTGGAAACTATTCGGGACCCTAAAACGGAATTGTACAATGTGGCCATAAATCCATGTGTAAGAACACAAAAAGTTGAAGATCACCCGAATACTCGATGGGAACGATATTATAAATTGTTAAAGGTTTTGTATCCCGGACATTTGACGAACGGATCTATGACACAGAGAGCTCGTATCATGGAACAAGCGCTACGTGTTGATCCGAATGAATACAACTTTAATTTATACCCACAATTAATTGACGTGAAAGAAACAGTATCACTTGTCCGTCAAGGGCAGAAAGTGTTTCGTGTAAGTACAGTAACGTTCTCCCTGTTATTCATCCGTTTCATCATGTTTTTTGCATCAATGTACTTGTTTTGTGACCAAGATTAAGACCACTTAAATCTAATTGGATTTCAAACATTTGAATTACTGGTTACAAAACACATTTGGGGTTTCTTCGTTCGCCAGTCCATATAATGTACTAGATTGGTGGATGTATATTTGCATTCAAACGAACCGCATTACCAAACCAGTTGTACTTATGGATCAGCCATAGAAACAGGCCATATTGACTGAGTGTTTTACACGACTGTATCACGACTGTATCTGTACGGTTAGACCGGGTATGATTACAACCTTCCGAGTCATTTAGGGTCAATCGGTCGAACCAATACCAAACTGTTTATCTCTGACTTTTTGAGAAGATAGCCTGATGGGTTTTGCACCAAACACATTACTGTGTCAAAGTAACTGGCACTTTTATCGTCACTCTTCTCTATCAGGTGGCTCAACTTACGTATAAAAGTTTTTGATTATAGAGGGGCCGTATGTAAAATTCTAGGTCATGCGTATTCAATTTGAATTAAAGTTGGCTAACGCGATGGTAACTCTCACATCTAGGCGACGTGGGGTTGCTTATGAACGAGTCGGTGCCGGGGAGTTATTTGAGTGCAGCTCCCAAGGAACGAGGTTCAGAAATCAAGCTAGCATTTATAGATATCCGATTTTGGTTTCAGTTCCGTCAACCAAAAAGCGATAGCTGACTTCACTTTTGTGACTCACGGCTAATGGCACGGACCAATGTTGGCGTTCGGTCACCAAAGTAAACTTTTCGAACATCTGAACCGTGCGAAATCGCAGTGTGAACACTGGAAACACCAAGGGTGAATTCAGTCAAATTTTCGGATGTTCTCGTTTCCAAAGCAATCTTCAAATCCAATGACACCTTAAAAAGTGCAAAATTTATAGCGGATTCTACTCGCTAAATGAGCTCAAAAGGTCTACAAACTTGTAAGAGTTAAATTCACTTCTTGGTTCTAAATATTCAATAGTATGTTGGAACCTGTTTATTAGTCATGCATCGAAATTTGTTTAAAATACATTTTTGAAATAAAACTGACGTACTTTCTACTACATCTTTTCCCATCAAGCTTTAGCCAAAAACCGCAATGATTCAGCCTCGATCAGTAGTCTTTTAGCCTCGACGCAGAGACTTTAGTGATATCGCTGTAGGCGAGTCAGATCAAAAGGTATCAAAGTATTCTAAGATCAAGGGTCAGGCATTGAAGATTCAACACAAGTTGATCGGAGGAGGTGTCCTGATTGTCAAATAATTTGACACATCTAGTACAGATTCAGTGTTTCCGTATAACATGCGATACTTCTGTGAGTAAAAATCTTACGTACAACGCACACGGTATATTATTTGAAGTTGATATCACAAAAATGTAAACACTTACCGTTCCGTATCTCCAGACAAAGTGAATTCCGTTCTTGAGATGTAGTTAGGTTAACAGTCAGAGGATGATGAACACTGTTGGCGAAACCCAACCTCCATTACCACCATCAGTTTATTGACGCTGCAGCATTTAACATGACCACGAAAGTCGAGACTCAAGGATTAGTGATTTTGTCTGAGGCTTTATGGGAAAAGGTGCTGAGCCGCCATGCAAACGATAAACCACAATTGGATGAACAAGTTATCCATCTTCTTATTCTATTTCAGAAACCAATCAATGATCCAGACATTTCGATTCTCGCGGCACCAAGAGGCTTCTGTGAATCCAATAAAAATGAAAGAAACCGATCTGAGATCGTGGTCTTGATAAAGTCCTGCGTCCGTTGCCAAGGCGATCGTCATTGGGCACGTTTGACTTACATGCAACCGCATTTGTGGAGTGGTTTTCGAATTCGATTTGTGTTTGTCACTGGAATGCCGGCGGTAAATTATACCGGAAAAATTCACTTCGAGGGAGTATCGGTCAACCATCGTAGTCACGGTAATGACAAAACGGATTACGAGAACAGCAAGCGCGAATTGCTCTCGGAGGCAATTCGGTTCGGTGATTTGCTGATCGGCGATTTCGAGGATCACTACTTTTCACTGACGTTGAAGCAGGCATTCATATTCCGTTGGATCTCGGCATTTTGTGCACACGAATCTTCCTTATTCCTGTTTCTGGACCATGATTTTGCTGTGATTCCTAGCAATCTTATCAGTTTAGTACGCGGGTTTCCCGAAGAAATATTACCAGATTTAAGTTTCGGTATTCGTGGTCAAAGTCATCTAGTAGTACGACCCAGAACAGCGCATCACAATCGATGGGCCGTATCTGAGGATGAGTTTCCATGGGACTACTATCCGGCCTACTTTGGAGGTCATTCTTATATCAAGGGAATCAGTGTTGTCACGGATCTGGCGATCGCTTCGGCATTTGTTCGCCCATTACGTGAAGAAGATGCCCATATGGGCATTTTGCGTTTCAAGATGCAAATACCAACCTACGTTGTAAGGCACTTCACACATGGAGTCGGCACGGCTGAGGAGTTACGGAAGATTACAAGCACGAGATCCGGATACATAATTAAATATTTTAATTGGACCACTGGTCAGATAAGTTGAGGTCAATTTCACAGATGCTACATACACATTTCATTTACCCCTTCCTTCGTATCCTTCCCTAATCTGAACAGGCAATTCTTCGTCAAATAATAAGAGTTCATTTTCATGATCACTCGTATGCAATCTGTCTATAACAAATATTTACTTGAGGTTCTCTCTCGGTTGTTTTTTTACACTTGGAATAAAAAGCATCTTCCAAAATTGTGCGGACAATAATATTCCTGAATTTTTACGTCGAACTCCATTAGTAACCGAGCGGCCTGCACTCCGTTTTCATGACTATCTCTGCTATGGTGACCAGAAAACGTTCGCGACACAGTGCTCGCCCATCCGGTGAGTTTGCACTTATAACACTTACAGCCCAATCCCTTCTCAATATTTCTTGTCCAAACACACAGAACAGAAATCAGACGCCAACCAAGGTTCAAAATCATATGATTCAAAATGTTTATTCTTTTTTCACTAATGTCTCTTTTACCGTATGCGTGGAGTACGTTATACAAGAAATCGGTTAGTGCCAGTCACAAAGGCCTCAAAACCAAGTTTGTTTGTTGGTATGTGTGCGCAAAATTAAGAGTTCAGCAATTAACGGACCATCGTTATTTTGGAGCGTTCAGAAAGAATAACCATTGATGCAATGCCAAGATTTCACTTCATAGTTCTCTACAGGTTCGCCTCGTACCGGAAGCGCAGTGCTAAAACAGAGACGTTCCTCGACTGTTGAAATAACGTGGTAAGTTTGTGATGTAGTTGTCTGTGGTGATATCATACCCCGAAAAGATCGAAAAGGCCCTACTGTACATACCCGGTGAGGATTCAGCTGAGGAACCAACTGCTGTGAATTAAGAAATCTAGCCCCTTTGTTTTTCTATCACTATTCGATTCCAAGCCCACTTGTTGGATTCGACATTTATTACGCTGACGCAGCTTTTGGAGTATACATCACAGCTGACCAAAGCAGTTGGTATACCCGTTGGTTCTAATGAGCATACCCACCTAAGTAAACGGAATCAGTCAGTCGCAGACCCAGTTTCATGAATCCACATCGGAATTAGTATGTGCATGTGTGCATGTTTTGATTTAGACCTCAGTTTGGCATACTGACCTCGGTCTGTTGGTCAAAAAGTCAGGTGCAGAACGCTCCAGATCCGCCGGATGATGGCGTGAATTGCATTAGTCGGTTTCAGACAAAAGATACATTGTTCTACCAAGTCTTTGTCATAATTGTCCACTGTTCAACACCAACTACGTAGATAAAAATGAAATGCATGAATGTATGCTAGTGCATATCGACATGCAGGTCACATATGGTGTGTCGATGAGCACTAGGATAGATTTCTGCAACCATATCAGCCAAAGCGAAGCCTCCCACTAAGGGCATCATGGCTTGCTGTGCATTAATGATATCTACTGACCTAGCTTCTCATACTCTCGTCATTAATTGGGTTTGATATACAGGACTCTTTGAACTAGGTCGTAGAATATTTTGAATGATATATTAGCTTGAAACTTGGTGCGTTTATTCCAAATCCGCTGTCATCGTGAAGGCAAGGAAGGAAAAATATTCTAGAATGACAAAGCTTGATAAAGGTGCAACACTGAGGATAGTCCCATTTCAGCACAAGTGCGAAATCTTTAATATATGCATACCAAGCGCATTCTTCATCCATGAACAAGTGGGTTTTCTTATATCAAATTACATAGCGATTTCTATTGTGAACATTTCTGTTTTACGGTTTCATCGTTGGTGCTCCGGATTCAATTAGAAACCAAATAATAAAGATAAAGATGTATTTTTTCAGTATCTGGCTGTTGTCTGGTGGATCTGCGGAAAAATTTTGTGGTATGCTTTCTGATTCAAACGACGCACAATCATTTGGCTTCTGGTTTGGCTTCTTGTTTCTTCCTTAATTCAGTTGTCGGAGCGTACTTCCAGATGACGCTCACAGTAGTTTTTCATTTCCAACCTCAAAATGATGACAGCCTGAATATGCTACTCCTGATTGTGGTG